CTTTTTTTTTTTTTTTTTTGTCTTGTCACAATTTTGGTACCTTTAGCTTATTACCTGTATGGGTTGTTGAGTAGGTTGAGCTGCTGCAGAGCTTCCAGCTTGCTGAACCATTTGTGGTTGAGCATAGTCAGCTGGTTGTAAGAGAGATCCAGCTGTTCCAGGCTCCACAGAGAGTCAAAAGCTGATGGATGGATCTCAGCTAAGCCATTGCCTGGAGGATAGTAACATCTATATTAAAACAAATTGTAAACACATTTTATTGATGAAAATCAAACACTGAATTGAAATCCCAGAGCTCTGCCAAGTCTTTTTTGTAGCAACTGGAAAACAAACAAGTAAAAAGTAACTGTAGCAGATAAAGGATTTGTAATGACTTGTTACAAAACATCATAATGTCATTGGGAGCCCTTGTTCATGGCACACTTTGCTGTAAAGTAAATATTTAAATAGATAACAAGACTTTGGATCAAGTTTTTCACAATCATAGTTCACATTTTATGCATGACTGCCTCCCCCCAGAGTCTTCAAGTGAGAGTGTGATGATGCCATGCACTTAACCTGAAATCACCTTTTCAATGTTTTAAAGTAAATTTCAGGACAAGGTTTCATGGCCATCGTGTCCCTTGATGTGCATAATTTACACATCCAAATGTATATACTTTGGTAGACTTTCACCCAGTCGGACTATCACTACAACATGACTTCTGGCTTCAAATTACATCCCTTATGACTAAAACATGCAACCACAAATCCAAATGACTCCCATTATTTAAAAAGAAAAAAAAAAGATTTTTGTCAAATTTTAACTTGCAACAACACCTGCACAATACAGAGTGAGTAGACAAAACCAGTATTTTGTCCATTGGGATATGCTGATGATCCTACTAGTTACAGAAAAAGCAGATAAAAAGGCTGAAATAGTCTCACTTTTCAAAATAAAATGTTGTCAAAATAATATTTTTTATAGTTAGCTGTTGGTATTCTTCTCACTTTTTTCCATCACCACAGCTTGCCCCTCCACCAACACCCACTCAATCAATACTTTATGTGTTACCGTGGAGATCAAGAACCTTCAGTTGCATGTGGCCCGTCAGGTCATCATTCGTCACAGCTGTTATTTTATTAAAGGAAAGATCAAGACTCAAGGCACTGCCTGTTACAGTGGGAACACTGGTGAATCCACTGTGGGAGCAGTTACAGAAGAGCTGCTGGTTGCAGTGATCGCAGGATGGCTTCTTGTTGTCTGTGTTCAACCTCTGGCCCCAGCTCTCAGAGAGGAAGAGGAGGACGAGGATGAAGGAGAGAGCAGAGGAGCAGCTGGTTGGACGTCTCATGCTGCATGAAATCAGTGAAGAACATGAAGTAGTGTTTGAGAGGATTTATAAATCAGGGAGAAAGTGAGTCATACTTCTCAGACTGCAGAGGACCCACACACAGAAGTGAAAGAACAACAGGGAAGAAGCACAATTTCAAAGAGGAAGCCTAAAAAGTTTCATTCACAACACAATTCTGCAAAAGTGAAAGGTGTTATCAGAAAACAGAGATGTCTTCAGCTTCTCACACACCCTACACCTAATGGTTCCATCTGTTAAAGCATAAGCACATGAAGTTTTCAGTCATGTCGCAAATAGCAGCCTCCATTCTTATGGCTCCAGGGTATTGATCTTCTTTGAACAAAGCCAGTGCATTGAAATCAGAGCAGGAAGCAACAAATATCATCTCAAAGCATTGACTTGTCAGCATTTTATATTTATACATTTATAGAGCAGTTCATCCCATGGGAAAAATAAATGAAAGAACCTTTGCACCTTTCACTCCAGAAATAGCAAATGCTTGTCTAATATTTGTGCATTTTTCATACATTAATCACAACTCGATTCATACATTTTTACATATTATGTAAAATGTAATGTCAAATGAAAATTGTATAAAATATAACACAGATATTTGTAATTGTTTTTTAAAGTTATTTTTCCATACGGAATTTTCCAAATGTTAAAATAGAAATATGTAGTATGGAAACTGATGTAAAGGTGGGTCCAAAAAGCCAAATACACCACTGCAAACCAGGCTGCATATCCCATTAGGATCAATTTTTTTGTTCTGCAAATTAACGCGGACACACACAAACAGGGATCAACACCTTCGCCAAGCTTAAAAGCTAGCTTAAACATAAAGGTGAGGTCCTAAAGAAAGGCCTGTAAGGTATATGATTTGTGTCAAGATGTTGCATTCACGGATGAGCACAGATATGAAGCTGTGGACAGGAAACCGGGGCTGAATGTGATCTGAACAGATGTACATAAATATGGCAAAAATCTGTTTCACATCCTGCAGTGAAGGTCATGTTTCATCGCAGCAAAACAAATACCATATCCGGGGATTTTTGCAGGAATTCGAGGTTTCTTTGAATTTTGTCCCGGGGCTGGAATTATTTACTATTTATGTTAATAGCTTGTGACATAATTTTAATGCATTTGTACATTTCTATGCAGATGATACAATTATTTATTGTGCTCAAAACATCAAGATGGTTTTTAAAGAATTACAGCTGGCTTTTGATTTTATACAATCACAGCTGTGTCAGCTCAGACTGATTTTAATTGCTGAAAAAAACCAAGATCATGTTGTTCTCAAATAGAAACAGCATACCTGCAGTACTTACCTCTCTTGTATTTGCTCAAGACAATTTGTGTTGAAACTGTGGCTTCATACAAATACTTACAGTAGGTATTGTGATTGATAATAGTTTTTCCTTAAAGCTACATATTGACCACCTGATAAACAAACTGAGGCTTAAGTTGAAGTTCTTTTTATGAAATCTTTCACTGCAAGTCAAAGGCTTGTTGCTGCCAACTTTTTACCCCTTCTGGATTATGGTGATATAATTTACATATATCGACTTATTCTCTCCATCTGTTGCATTGTGTTTATAATGGGGCATTAAAATCTATAACCAGATGTAAACCTTTAACACACCACTGTTGACTTGTCCCCACTGTCCTTATTCAGGATGGTTCATTTATATCTTCATATATTAATCTGTTTCTGGTTTACTCCCCTCTTATTTGTCAGATTACATGTTACAGAAACAGTTTAGTCATGACTCAGGACTTTATTAGATTCACCTGTTCATACAGAGCTCAGACAAAAAGCATTCTCCTCATCTGCCCCGTCTTCATGGAGTTCATCACAGAAGGACTCGCAGCGCTCTCAATTGATTTCACTTGCAGACTTTAAAAATGACCTTGTGATATCATCACAGGGAACTTTTTCCTGTTTTTGACACTGTGAAAAGGTCATGCCAAATACTAATTTTTAAGGTTTTTTTTTTTTAAACTTCTTTGCCTAATATACTGTATTTCCAGTTGTATTTGAACATTTCAACAAGAGCACTCAGGTAGTCCATAACTCCCCCTGAAGGGGAAACATAGAACAGCTTTATGCTAATGTCAGCATTGCTAATACTGACATTAGCAATCCACAATGCTGACATCAGTGATGTCAGCATTGTTAATATGGAAATCTACTCTAGTTTATTCATCTTTGTTTTTCATTGTAAAGTCATATAATTTTGTCTTTAAAGATAATGTTTTAAAGAACTTAAAAAAGAGCTCTTTAAAACAGATTAAAACAGCTTAAAGCTGGAAAATAATTTTTTTCTAATTCAAGCTGTAAAAACTTGGGATTTTAGGATATATTTATAAATAACTTTAACTGAGAAACTTTATGGCATCATTGTGATGTCATAGGGGATCGTATTGAGAAAATAAAAAGGTGTGTTATACAGATCTCCCCATGCCCCTACACATGATGTATTTCTCTATTTTTTTCAAGTTTAACTCTGACTTTGGGCGCTATAAATGAAGGTTATGGTCAAATGCTTAGTCAACCCAGGGACTCGTGTCCCCTAGGACTAAACATGTGCTTGTGAACTTTGAAGACGATCCATAAAATGTTGTGGGTATTATAACGTTTAAACTTATTTTCACATTTGGTGTGATCTTTATCCAATTTTCACCAAAGTTCAGTTAGTTTGAGCTGTTGTTGGTATCTACCACACTAAATTTGTGAGCGATATCTTGAAAACTGTGGATGCTAGACTGCTAAAATCAGACAGACAGACAGACACACAAACAGAAGTGATTATATACAGTATTTCTTCCCTGAACCTGTTTCTTCTTCTTTTTTTCTTCTTGTTTTTTTCTTCTTGTTTTTTTAAAATGAGGTGACTCAGAAACCATTGTATAGGATTGAATATTGACAATAAAGTCCTAATTAATTTCTAATTTTTTATTATTCTTATTCTTTTTCAATCCCGGTGATAGAAATGCACTTTCGGAACCTCAACTTTCACATTAAATGCAGCTACTCTGCAGTATGTCACCATAAAACTATTTTTAATATTTATCTTTTGGTGGAAGGTGGTGGATGGACATTAAGCAATCCTTAGTTTGGTGTGCAAACAGCTTTTACTGAGCCTTTTACAGCACTCAGCCCAAGTTCTTCTCCTTTTTTCTCTATCTGTGACAGAGCTAATCAGTGTAAGGTATCATCACTGCTGCTGCAAAATTAAAAATAAAAACTGAAACAATCTTGTAAAAATCAGCAAAACTTTACAGCATAAAGTTTTTTTCATGGTTTGTTTTAGGATTCTGTCAGAAGTTTGTCAAAGTCTTACCTTATATTTTTGCCGAGCTGACTGCTGAAACTCGTTAAAGACAACAGGATGAGTTGAAGTGTTTTATGACTTCATAAAGAGGAAGTATAAATCTCAGGGGTGACAGCTGGAACCAAGTGTGAAAAGAGGTAGTGAGCGTGACGTGAACTTTGGGAGGAAACCTTGTGAGTGCAAAAGTTTAAAAATATATTTCAAATGTACTATTTAACTATTTTCAGACTTTCTAAACTAAAATTGAAAAATTATATTAGGCTAAGTTATATCCAGAGAAAAATAAACTGTTACACTTTGTTAAATTTAATCACATATACTATTTGTTATCAGGAAAAAAAAACTGGCAGTATTATAAAATTATTATCATGCACATGGTTTCAGTTCCAGAACATGCTTCAACCGCTGTGTGCACAGTACCATGACCACAATGATTTCCTGTTTCCTTTTGGCACACATAAACAACTACCATGCCGAGTTTGTAGGCGAGCATAAATATTTATATATACATTAAAATTGCACTTGTCTATGTTTTAATATGATGTTACTGGATAAAGGTAATTGTAATCATATAAATAATAAATGAAATTTTATATTTATAGTGTACAGTGTCCTGTCTTCCTCCCCTCAACCCGAACCGCTCGCAGCATAAATATTTTTTGATTTCACGCAGTTAAACTGACTCAAACTGAAAAACGGGATACAGGCGGCTCTGTTGTACATCATCATCAGTCAGCAGTAAGGGTGTACTTAGCTTTTCACGCAGACTTCTTCTGCATTTTGGCTTACTTATTAAGCTTACTTATTAATAAATAACCTAGGGCACTGTGTCATACTTGTAGGGAAACAGACATAGCGATCTGTTTCAACGTTTCAAACTGACACCAGTCCATGTCGGGTGGGGGATCATCAGTTTCTCAAAAGATTTGAGAGACTGATGATGACAGTACACAGGGTCATTCACCATTCATTTATATCATTTTTTTTCTCTTATGGCTTGGGATGCATTTATTACTTCTTGGCTGAACTACTGTAAAAGACTTCAGTTAATCCAATTTGCTGCAGCAAGAATACTAACAGGGACTAATATGTATTTAGTCCCTGTTAGTCTCCTATATTGGCTTTTCTTCTCTGGCTCCCTGCTAAATCCAGAGATGAATGTATACTCCTTCTCCTCTTGAATAAACAGGTACTATAAGGTCATCCTTAATGACCTTTTAGTACCATATCACCCTATTAGAGCACTTCCCTCTCAGACTGCAGGCGCTTACTTGTTGTTCCTAGTGTATTTAAAAGTAGAATGGGAGGCAGAGCCTTCAGTTTTCATGTCTGCTTTCAACCAGCTCCCAGTTTGAGACAGACACCCTCTCTACTTTTAAGATTGGGTTCAAAACTTTCTTTTTTGTTGGCATGATTTTGGTGAAATCCTCCATGTTGTTTTGCAAAATTACAGGAAACAACCTGTTTTTTTAAAAACCAGAGTGATGTAAATGGTCGCTTAACACATTTAAATGAAAAATCACAAGACAATAAAAAGGCACAAACATGGTAAATAATTCCAGTACAGTAACTCCAATTACTGGAGGTGAGGACCAGCTACAGTTGCCCATATCAGCACGTGTCAATCACAATGCCATGAAACAACTGTGTGGCAGGGAGGATTAGGACCAGGACTCATGAGTCAACAAATGAACTCAAAGCAGCTTTCATGCTGGAGTCTTTCATAATATAAAACTAAGAATCCAGGGAAACAGAGCAATGGAGCACACAGAACTGAAGGAGACTGCAACAAAGGACAAGTGGAGGCAATAAATATACACCAGGTAATGAGGGCAGAGGGAAAAGGTGGGAAATGCAATGGGAACACATCAGAAATAACAACACAACGAAATTTAAATTCACTACAAAGTACATAAAGAATAAAACAGGAAACAACATTGAGACAGAAACTAAAGAAATAAAATTCGACACAGAATCAACATTTGAGGAACCATGACACACGCCCCTAAATTTTCCTAAAAAATCCAAATTGTGACTATACCTGCATGGTAGTTTGCAATACAGGTATCTTACCACATGATGGGACTGTAGCCTGGTTTGCCTCACAGTTTCTCTAATGCTGGATCTCGTGGTTGTAGTTGCAGTGTTTTCAAGTCAGTGGACATATTTTATAAACAACAAGTAACTGCAACAATCTAGTGACCAAAGCAAAGCCATTACCAATTTCCAGTTTCACTTAAAACCTAAAGCCTACCTACAGCTTTATGTCGGCTAGCAGGCGTTGCCAGTTGCCAGGGTGCAAAATCAAGATGAAAGATTTGCATTCTTGAGTTTTGATCTTATTTGGAAAACAAACAAAAAAAGAAACCCACTGACAGCTAAGGGTTTAGTAGAGGTGAGGGCACTTTCTACCAGATTTGGCTTAAGTGTGGATGCCTCCCTTTGCTAGCTAAGTTTATTGACTCAGAGCATAAAATGCAGCCGTTTTTTATACAGCCATTTAAAACTATTTACATAACATTCAGGTGTGCTGCATCATATCAGAAGGCCCACAAATTATTTGTGCCACTCCAAAATAAAAGTTTTTGTCCACTCTAAGACATATAGATGATAGAAAACAAACAAACAAACAAAATGTTATAGTATTAACAATAATGAATTTTTGGTCAACCAGCATTTGGGCCAAAAAAAATTGGATCAGCTGTGGCTAAGGTGGTAGAGCAGGTCATCTGCCAACTGGAAAGTTGGTGGATGACGCTTTACGTATCCACAGGCAAGATACTGAACCCAAAGTTGCCTCTGATGCATACATCAGAGCATGTGTGAATGCTAGATTGCACTCAGACATAGATAAAAGCGCTGCATGAATGTGTGTGCTTTTGGGACGAGACCTATAGTAGAAAACCAGCAACACCACCAAAACAACAACCACAACCAAATCCCACTTCTGAGTATTGTTTTAATCTCAGTTAGCTCTCAGGTAGCAGACAGTAAATTGTTCCTAATGTGTGTAACCACTGTTCCTCACAGTGGGGAAAATAATTCAACTCTCTAATTTTATGGTAGTTTCAGTTCTCTCTCTCTCTCTTTTTAAGATAGAACCAGAATATGAACAAAAATCCAGTTCCTTAAAATGGAGGAAATAATTATGGTCTCTAATTTTATGGTAAATTCATTTCTCTCTCTTATTTTAAGATAGACACAGAATATCAAAAATGCTGTGGTCAGAAGAAGACAAAAATGCAGGTTGAATTCATACCAAACAGCTTTGGAGGGAACGTAATGTGGACTGTGACCCAAAGAAGACCATCCCCACAGTCACACAGAGATGGAAACAGCTTAACAGCACAAAAATGACTCAAAACATACTGGCAAGGTAAGCAGTAGCTAAAAATGAACCACATTAAGCTCATAGAGTGGAATAGCTAATCTTTCGACTTGGTAGAACTTCTGTTGAGGGAGCGGAAGCTTGGAGTTTCTAAGCAGCAGCCAAGAAACCTAAAAGATTTAGAGTTTCTGTAAAGAGGACTGAGCCAAAATGCCTCACGACATGTGTGCAGACCTGGTGACCAGCTACAAAAAATGCTTATCATGGTGGAGTTTGGGTCAATTCAGGAAAAGGCATCACATTTCATGGTAAAATACTGTAATACTAATTATGGTAATTTTTTATGCTATCAAAATATGAAACAGGCCAAATATCATTCAACACGTATGTAAAAGTTGAATGTGACGGGTTGTGGTTTGTGGCTCAGCCGAAGGGGAGGGGTGGAGCAGTGGGTTGAGGGATCAGTGCTGGGGAAGGCTGGCTGGTACAGTTGATTTGCATCATGCTAACCACTGTAACTATAGTTCACTAAAATGCATCTAGAGGTCTGCCTGGGTTCGTGTAAAATTCATACAAATACCCAAGGAAAGCATGTAAGTCGTTTACTTGCAAATAACCTCACTATCATAGTATCGTCAATTACTCCGGGACCACGGAGCAACGTTCAGAGCCAACTTTATTTTATTCTCGTCACACCACACACCCACCAACCCCTGAGTCCCCGTGTTATAACACGGCGGGCGTGATTGCGGATGCCGTGCAGGTGCGTCCGCACGGCACCGCAGACCACGCCCCACCACAGTGATGTATGTACTTTTGCAGGTGGTTGACCTTCAGGAGGGCATGCCCGTGCCTTATCTTATGGCTGCAGTTGGCTAGGCCCCTTGGACTAATAGAGGTCATTGAATCACTCTGACTCCTCACCCAGGACAAATCCACCTCGGGAGACCAGGGCGAGCGTCCCTGACAACATAACCCCGGAATCACTGGGACACTCAACCCCTCCACCATGATAAGATGATGACTCATATGTGTCTCTTTTTGTGCCTCTTAAACATCGTGCTTACAACTCTGACGCAATAGTACCTGCTGCTCACTCTAGGACTTATTGTCAATGTCTATTGTGGTTGTGTTGTGTTTGTGTCACGCACAAATGATGTTACAGGACTTTCAGCCGCATTGCTATAATGACTGATTAGAGTCGAGTCGATTAGGTACGAGTGAAAAAGAGGCAATGGTATCTAGCTGCATACACATAACAGTACCATGGTTTTCAGTAACAGGGTGAAAAGTCCTGAAGTCATTTCTGGCCAAGATATGTCCTTCAACACATACATTAAATATGTAGGACTGCTTCGTTTGAGAAATATCAGTAATAGTAGACACATCCTGAAATATCTTAGAGCAGGGGTGGGGGAACTCCAGGCCTCGAGGGCCGGTTTGTGTCCTGCAGGTTTTAGATGTCTTTCATCCAACACAGCTGATTTAAATGACTAAATTACCTCCTCACCATGTCTTGATGTTCTCCAGAGGCCTGGTAATGAACTACTCATTTGATTCAGGTGTCTTGACCTAGAGTGATATTTGAAGCCTGCAGGACATCGGCCCTTGAGGCCTGGAGTTGCCCACCCCTGTCTTACAGTGATGCTAAAGAGCTACTTCATGCACTCATTA